ATGTACCTAGGTTGAGTGTTAAATTAAGAATCGACATCACTGCACTCAGGACACTTCCATAAGTGCTTCATCCTTATCTTCAGCAGCAAGAAAAAAGTTCCAATTACGATGGTACCAGTACTTTCTGATAGTATACTTAGGTGAAAGTTGTTAAATAGCAGTGAAGTGACATAGGCATAGTCCCAACGATATGAGTATATGCGTATGCAAGGTTATCACGTCTGAGTGTTTATTCTTAATTTGTGTGTGACAGATAATGGAGATGGCGAGCCAGGACAGTGTGTGGAGGTGTCTGCCATTTTTTTTTTCTTCCACCAAATGTAGAAGACCTCGAGGTCTTTCGATCCTCTGTATCCTAAAATAGAAGAGGCGTAACAATAAAAGAAACAAATGAAAAAAAGGTTATGTTTGTGTGTAGACTTGACGCAGAGTGAGTACGTGGGTTAAAAAAAAATGGGGAGAGCTGTATGCGAATAGCGAAGGACAGAACAGCTTGGTGTAAGTTGGCTGAGGGCCTCTGCTCCATTGGGGGTTAGAATGACAAGAGTGTGAGTTTAGTAGGGAACTGATGCACACTTGAGGTATTTCCTTAGCAGCCAGCCCAAAATTCTGATGTCGCAGTTGAGTTGCAATGAGTCAAGAATTGACATCACAGCACTCAGGGCATTACCATGTTTGCTCCATCCTCATCTTCAGCAGCCAGTGCAGAGTTCCAATACTAATGGTACCGGTAACAATCTGATTAAATGTCTGTCTTGCCTTTCCTCTGAGTGTAGTGAGCCGGCCAGACCCGCTGGTTACACCCAGGTGCCACATTCTTTCCAGGCTATAATAATCTTGTTTCTCTACTGATTCCGTTGCTTGTTCCCAAAGGGCGTTGACCACATCTGCTTTGTCATGTATCACTTCACCACCCAGTGATGCAGATCCAGCCAGTCTTTCTGCTGTATGATGAAGCAGTCTGATTGTATACCTACCTTCCCCATTTGGGTTCTGGGGCCCCATTGGAGAGGGGGGGGGAGCAGATGCACCCAACAAGCATGTCGTAAAAATCTACTAATTATAGGTATTTCCTTGAAAGTCGGAGTGCATCAGCCATAGAGGGAAGGAACCAACAGTCTCTATACAAATGAGACCTGTCAAATAGAGGTGTAAACAAAACTCAAGTTCTGGAACAAGATGAAAGTCTAGAAGTGGACAAACAACCAGAACTTTCCACCAGAGTTTACAGCTGTTCAACGGTAAGAATAAGCCGTACAAGGAGCACTCATCTGAAACCTGCTCCAGTAACTTTATTACAAAAACATGAAATCAACAGAAGTCACAGAATTAAACAAAGCATCCATTTTGAATGAATTTTTTTCCCCGTGTGGGTTCTAGGGCACCATTGTGGGGGAAACAAGGAGAAACCCACTACCTACCACTCCAACAGGTATGTCATAGGAGTTGGGGACTTCCTTCAAAGCCGGAGCGCATCTACCTGAGTGGCAAGGAACAACTAATTGCACACACATAAGCCAGTAAAACGAGTGTACATGCAGAACACAGGCCCTGGCACAAAGCCAAAGTCCAGATGGATGAACAACCAGGACTTTCTGCTGGGACGAACAACCAGGACTTTCCGCCGGGATGAACAACCAGGGCTTTTTGCCAGGACGAACAACCAGGACTTTCCGCCGGGATGAACAACCAGGATTTTCCGCTGGGATGAACAACCAGGATTTTCCGCCGGGATGAACAACCAGGACTTTCTGCTGGGACGAACAACCAGGACTTTCCGCCGGGATGAACAACCAGGATTTTCCGCCGGGATAAACAACCAGGATTTTCCGCCGGGATGAACAACCAGGATTTTCCGCCGGGATGAACAACCAGGACTTTCTGCCGGGACGAACAACCAGGAATTTCCGCCGGGACGAACAACCAGGGCTTTCGGCAGGGATGAACAACCAAGACTTTCTGCCGGGACGAACAACCAGGGCTTTCGGCAGGGACGAACAACCAGGACTTTCCACCGGGACGAAAAACCAGGACTTTCCGCCGGGATGAACAACCAGGACTTTCCGCCGGGATGAACAACCAGGACTTTCTGCCGGGACGAACAACCAGGACTTTTCGCCGGGACGAACAACCAGGGCTTTCGGCCGGGATGAACAACCAAGACTTTCCGCCGGAATGAACAACCAGGGCTTTTCGCCGGGATGAACAACCAGGACTTTCTGCCAGGATGAACAACCTCGACTTTCCGCTGGAACGAACAATCAGGACTTTCCCCCAGAGCTCACTGCTGGTAGGTGAAGAAGAATTTTGCACCATGGGTTAGTCAGGAAAAGTCATTGTATGCATTCGGCAAGCATATTGCTTAGATAGTCAGTGAGTGGCATCCGCAAAAAGGAATTGTGGTTGGTCACTGAACCAAATTTGTACTGCCTTCATTATAAATGCATCTGTGTGACATCATTTCCCCTTGAGAGCTAAACAAAGTAAAAATCACATGATTACAAGTCATTATCTTGGGCTATATGATGTAGGTAAACCCTTAAAACATGAAGAAGAAAATAAGACACAGGTGAATATTGTCGTGAGGACATGGGGTGAAGTTTGAAAAAGAAGTCTTGCTTGCTTAGGGTGTCCTTGATATCTTGTGTCTTCGCTCGTGTAAGTCGACCCTTGCCTGTTTTTCGCATAAAAATATATTTTCCATAACTATTCTCTCAAAACTGTTCTTGCATTAAATAGTCTTTCTGTCTCTAAACTCATGATTGATGTCAGAGGGAGACAATAATATCAATATAGGTGCACTACACCTATATGTGAGTCGCCGAGGCAGAGCGGCTAGACGCGCGCGGATCGGAAGGTCGTGGGTTCGCTCCCTGGCGGAGCCGGACTATTCTTCAAAAATGATCTTGGCTCCCAGGTCGACCCAGCCTTGAGTGGGTACCGGGTGCAGTCCCGGGAAGTAGAGACGGCCAGTGTGATGCTGACCACATTACTCATCTTGTGCCGTTGGTCTATAAAAATATAGGTCTAGCCCTATATGCCCTATACGCCTGAAGGCGTGGAAAAGGGTCCTTTACTTTTTTACTTACACCTACATAGGCCAATTCTGTTTTCTTGTAGGCAAGCCCTTTTCTCCCCTTCCCGCTCCTCCTTATTCTGCTTCTTTCTCTTTATCTACCTCTTCTTCTTCTTCTATTTCCTCTTCTTCCTCTACCTTCTTTTTCCTGTTCCTCCTCCTCCTTTTTTTCCCTTCTTCTTCATCTTCCTTTTTCCCCCTTCTTTTTCTTAGCATTCACCGGCTTAAAACTCCAGTATAAAATTCTGGCTGTTTGTTCATCCACTCCTGGACTTTGATCTTGATCCAGAACGTGAGTTTTGCGTGTACATCCGTTTTACAGATCTAGTTTCTTTGTATGCATATTGTTGGTTCCTTGCCTTTCACGTAGATGCACTCCGACTTGTTAGGGGCAGTGGGTCCCCCCCCCCCCCCAAAGAGTGGCTTGGAACCTACACGGGAAAATTGGCAGGACCGTATGTACGACGCCCCTGTACAGCCATTGCCTGGCCTCGAGGTGTCCGCCTCGAGTGCTAGATGTTTTAGGTTCAATCCTCTGTAAGGGCTGACATTTTTTTTTCACTTGGACTTGGACTTCAAGTAATTCCCCCTGGTCTCTGGGTAGTTAGATTGGATGCCTTGGTGCATTGTTGCGCACGTAAAAAAAAATCCCTTAGCCGTTGGAAATCGAAAAGAGTCGCCTAATTTTGAGTTAAAATTCTACCCAAACTATTTCAGGATTCTCCTTCAAATTTTGCTCGGGCATAGCCGTTAGGCTACTCTTTTCGATTTCCAACGGCTAAGGGATTTTTTTTTATGTGCGCAACAATACACACGGGGCGTCCGATCTTACTAACTAGAGACCACGGGCAATTACTAGAAGTCCACGTGAAAAAATCCCAGCCTGAACCCTGGAACTCCAGCACTCGAGGCGGAGGTTATGGCGCCTGACCACTCAGCCCCCTATGTTGACTGATGTTCATGCCTAATACCAAACAACGCTTGGAACATCAAACAACGCTTGGAACATCAAACAACGCTTGGAACACCAAACAACGCTTGGAACACCAAACAACGCTTGGAACATCAAACAACGCTTGGAACATCAAACAACGCTTGGAACATCAAACAACGCTTGGAACATCAAACAACGCTTGGAACATCAAACAACGCTTGGAACACCAAACAACGCTTGGAACACCAAACAACGCTTGGAACACCAAACAACGCTTGGAACACCAAACAACGCTTGGAACACCAAACAACGCTTGGAACACCAAACAACGCTTGGAACACCAAACAACGCTTGGAACATCAAACAACGCTTGGAACATCAAACAACGCTTAGAACACCAAACAACGCTTGGAACATCAAACAACGCTTGGAACATCAAACAACGCTTGGAACATCAAACAACGCTTGGAACATCAAACAACGCTTGGAACATCAAACAACGCTTGGAACATCAAACAACGCTTGGTATGTAATGAGTTAATATAGCCCAGGTATTTCAGTTCTAGAGAAACGATACTAACGAGATGAGCGAGTCCAAAATCTGAAGAACCTTCATAGTTCATCATCATGTGCCCTGCCATATAGTGTAGGCGTTCATGCGTCTTCACAGATCACGATCCTTGGTTGCTTGCTTGGAACAGCTCTCTTGATAACATTCCCCCATGCCATCGTTTCAGCCCATCCAGCATCATCTCTCTAGGTCTGCTATCCCTTTTTCCATTGATCTTTTCAGTTGTCACATTGTTTTCCAATGTCTCTCTTCTCATTATGTGGCCAAAGAACAGTGTTTGTCTCGTTCTCATTGTTGTATATAGAGATCTACTTTCATTAGCGTCTTTCAAGCAATCGTTGTTAGTTACTCTGGCCGTCCAAGGTATTCGTAACATTCGTCTCAGAAACCACATCTCTGTATAGTTACATAATAGGATTTTATCGCTTTTTAACCCTGAAACCTTCTCCTCGACATTCACTGCAGCTGGTACATTCCTGAATCTCTAGATCTTCGATGAGGCTAAGCTCGTGCCAGGAAAGTATACAAATCTTACATCCTTTTGTCGTGAACAACAGTCTTGATTGCAACGGCGCTGGAAGGTCAGATCTCTGGATCTTATCTCTGCGCTCAGTTACGTTCGATGTCTTGTAAACTGTATCAGAGATCGTTACAAAACTCAGAACATTTAATGTTTGAGGCGCGGAACAAATTAAATTAAGAACTGCAAGAGCCTCGGCCCCGCCGTCTTCTTTCCCCTGCACTTTCGCACGTATTCCTAGGTCGTTGGGCAGGACAGTCATGTCGTAGTTTGTGAAGAATCGGTTCACGATGAAGTATTTGGCTATATCGTAATGCCCGGAAAGTAGAGCTACACAAAGAGGCGATATAGGATTTCTGTATTCCGAGAATTTAAACGTACAAGGCTCCCGACATACTCTGTCGAATGGCGGGCACCCGTTTATCACCATTAAACGAACAATCCTTTTCTTTCCACCGGCTACCATCTCATGGAGAAATTGTTGATCCAGTCTGGACAGCGCCAGATCAGCTCCACTCCGCAACAGTCGTTCAATCATGGAATCCCCGTTTCCCTCTTTACTACTGTGAAACGCAAGATTTAAAGCCGTTATATCTCCAGCTTTCCCCGCAACTACCACATTAACGTTAGCCTCCTTGTCAAGTAAACAGTTGGCACAAGCAGACTCTCGCTGTTCTAGCGCGTACATGAGAGCAGTAAAACCTTTTACAGAATCTGTAATGTTCAGGTCAGCCTTGGAATCGATCAACAAATTCAAACAATCGATTCTGCCATGCATGGCTGCATACATCAAAGCCGTTCGGCCGTGTTTGTCTCTTCTATTGATGTCAGGGGGTGGATCTGAGTCTATCAAATAGTGCAGACAATCAAAGTTATCCCACTTTGCGGCAAGCATCAACAAACTAGCGCCCTGCTCATTGACAGCATTCAAATCTGCTTTGTGATCAGCGAGAGTATGAAGATAGTGATGTAATCCTATGTCCGAAGCATACATGGCCGCGGTCATTCCGTCCTTATCCCGGGAATCCACTGCCGCGCCGTGCTCTAGTAAAGCTTTCAAGCAATCAAAACGCTTATTCACCACAGCGATGATTATCGCAGGAGTGCATTTTGACACGTCATCCACGCGACAGTTCGGATCGCAGCCATTTTGCAATAGCTCCTTGACGATTTTAATTTTCCCGGCTTTAATGGCTTCAATCAGACGTTCCCCTTGTTGTCTTGTTGACATTTTACTTTCAGTAAAGGTCTTTCATATTTCAATTTAGTTAATTTTCGAACCAATAATATCTACACGTTTTTTTTTTATTTTTACCAAAATTAAGTATTCGACTGGTCGGACAACAACGTGACTGCTATCGGGAATGCATCAGCTAAGTGATTTTTTTTTTTTTTTTTGCATTTTTATCTGTACATGTTTTTGTTGATCATGTGATGTGCGGATGAAGACTTCTTAGCCGCAACGTTCACCTTCTGTTTCTATTTGTTATATTACGAAGCTCGCTGATCCGCTTTTCGATTGCTTTGATAACTTTTCATGACATTTATATTTGTACGTGCAGATTTGTAAGCATTTAAAAAGCCAGTTGGCAACAATTGTTCTAATACTCCATGCTCTGTGGAAGTTTTTTCTTAATGCGAGCAAGTTTTGTTAGTCACACTCGCCATCGCCGTGGGTTCTGTTTCTCATGTCTTATTATACCACAATAGGAAAAATGTTTCTGGAAAGCCGAAATGATGCCAAAAACAGCTCACAGAGACGCTTTAAAAATTATGTCCATCTGAAAGAAACATCAAAAGTTCATTAACCTGCAAACAACACACATCTAGAAAAATACAGGACTGTGTAAACTATTAATAGTATACCTGTAAAAAAAAATGTATCGGTGTGTGGGGCTTAAACGTTGCAAACGGGCTTCATGATTCCGGAATATCATGTTCGATTCAGCTACCAGTTGAGTGGTATGAAGTTCTGACCTTTCAGTTTGATGATAAACTACTGTACGTATAATGCCCAGTAAAACTCTAAAACAGATAACTCCTTTAAGGGAAAAACACAGCTAACGTCAAGTATATAAATTAGGGCTATACCGAATATTCGCTTCGTATTCGCTTCGGGGCCGAATAGTGAACCTAATAACTATTCGGTATTCGGCCGAATAGTTGCGGTCGGGCCGAATACGAATAGTCGTTACCTTACATCCGTTTCTGGACTGATGGAAAATAAACATATCAAGATTTCCCACCTTGGTTCATACTGTCAAGCGTTATCTTTGTGCACCATCTACGAGCGTACCAAGTGAACGTCTGTTTAGTACAGCTGGAAATACCTTAAGTGGGACAAAAAGCTGCCTTAATGCTGACAACATGAAACGTTTTTTGAAAGCTAATGCCGCTTTAATGGATTAACTAAGCTGTCAGTGACAATTTACTACTTACTTGTTATAAAACTGAGAATTCTTTCATTCCTAGGTATTAGTTACCACAGACTGACTGAGTGAAAGATGCAAAACGTGAAATGTTTTTAAATGTTTACTATTCTGTAGTACATTTTGTGAAGTACAATTTCAGCGTGCATTTGACATGATAGATTTTTTTTATTTAGATCTATTTTATACACGAAAGTGGAAGAATGGGTCTCAATTTCAATAGTGGGAAGACAGAAGCAATGGTTGTATGAAAGAAAATTATTATTCCTAAATGTGCAATAAAAGTCAATGGTTTTATTTTGGGACAAATACAGAATTTTAAGTATTTGGGTACATGGATAACATCAGATGGAAGATGCATTACTGAAATAAGAAACAGAATAGGACAAGCAAAAACTGTATTTTATAAATTGAAGAACATCCTATGCAATATATCTTTGTAATTGGAGGTTAGAAAAAAAAAATTCATGCTTGCTACACATATCCAGTTTTAACACATGGCTGTAAGTCCTGGACAATCGGTAGGCAGGCCAAACAATTTCTTGAGGCCTCAGAGATGTGGTTTTACAGAACATTTAAAATACCTTGGACAGCCACACACACAAAGCAACCAAGAGGTTTTGATGGAGGCCGGAGCCTGAAGACAACTACTAACGGACATCAGAGGGAGACAGTCATCATTTTTCGGCCATGTTATAAGATGTGGGAAAATGGAACATGTGGTGACCACTGGAAAGATGTGTGGAAGGAGGGATGGAGGAAGACAACGAGAGAAGATTTTTGACAGTCTTGGAGGTGTGTCAGCACACGAACTAATACATGCTGCAGGAAATCGCAGATTGTGAAATTCATCATGAATATGAAGATCCAAACTGGCAAACTCCGACTAGAAGCTGGCTGTACCATATCCAACTTAAGCGGTGAAAGGAAACGAAAGAGCCAATAGACTGGCCGTGTCTGCAGTAGTTAGTGATGAAACAAGTTTGGATAGAGCAGACATACTGAATGCGCTGCGTTCTAGAGAAGTTGAGACAAATAAGTCAAAGATGATGGACCGCCTTTTGGAAATGGATATCAAACGAAGACAAGCATGTAGAAACCAGTAGCGGGGCAAGGAAAAAAGATGTGGATATATTGCCACCTTGTGTTGTGGTTTACAGCTAGTCCCCATGCATCTGATTTTAGCTAACCTTTAATTAGTTGCCGTTTACAACATGCATTTTTAGGGGCAGTATGTCTACACCCCTCCCCCTCCCCTGAGCACAAGAACTCACAAAGGGCAATTGTAGAAGTAGTAATAGAGAAGCAGCAGCAGTCGTAGCGGTCAGTGGTGGTAGTAATAGAAGCAGCACCGTTTATATTTATTTCGTTTTTATTTGTATTTTGACATGCTGGCGAGGGTATGCTATTTTTCTCTCTTTGTAGAATGTTTAGTTAAAACTATTGCAACAAAATAGCTTTCTGGAAAAGAAATTATGCGATTAACAAAACATTAAGATTTACCCAGTAGCAAAAATAAAAATTATATGCATGACTTAAACTAAAGCAGGGGTATTTCAATCTAAAAATAGAGGTTCGAACTGAGACCAAGGCCAAGGCCGTCCATTTATTACGTGGAACTCAAATGGATATAAATGTCACAGTTTAGTCAACAATGTTTACATTAATGTCATCCCCGTGTGGGATGCAATTTTTCGTTATTTGAAGCCCCACTCTGGCTTCTGCCGGGGTCCCTGAATATAGCCGGGGCATAATGGCCTAGTCGTAGATATGGCCTAACCGCTGAGAGGGGCCTCTGGGACCTCTCCACGGGTGATCCCCATCCGCACTTTGTGTCACCGGGTGTTTATCGCTTGTGTGATGTTCTGGTGGGGTAAAAAGTCACTCAGTCAGTCAGTCAACAATATTTACACCATATTTTTAATTTTGCCCTAACCGGTATAGAGACTTTAGGCGTCGCAAACGCGCTTCTTGATAACGGGGTGCCGGGTTCGATCCCAGTTTGACTTGCGTTGGTTTCCACAGTACTTATTATACAGATATAAATATGACATATTTAGTCACAAACGTTTAACTCTTTCTCCCTCTCTCTCTCTCTCTCTCTCTCTCTATATATATATATATATATATATATATATATATATATATATATATATATATCTTTTCTCTATGTCTGAGCTCTAGGGTTGATAGGATGCCAAGACGACACTTGTGGACTCGGCACCATAGTTGGGCTGTCTACAGATGTATCTTTAAATCTTGTTTCTGTTAATCTTCCAGTCTCTCTTCCGATGCCTATATCTCTCTCTCTCTCTCTCTCACATTCTTCTCTCTCTCTCTCTCTCTCTCTCTCTTACATTTTTTCACCCCCTCTTTATCTCTCACGCACATTGTTCTTATTCACACATTGTTCCATCTCACACACTCTCACCCCCCCCCTCTCTCTCTCTCTCTCTAACATACACACATTCTTCCCCTCTCTCCACCTCTCACTCCCTTTCCAATACTAATTATTTTCTTCCACACACAAACATATCCCCCCCCCCCCCCGCTCTCTCTTTCTCTCTCAATCTGTCCGTCTAAGTTTCATTTGCTTGAACAAAAGGATAGCGTAAAAGAAGCCCGTTGTAAGATGGAAAGCATAGTAAGAAAAGAGGTCTGCGTTTCGGATAATAACATTTCTTTAGACAAAATAAAGGTATCCCATATCACTTGAAATATTCCCAATGACAGAGTGCACAGTAGGATTATCACAATTATTTAAAAAGTACACCAACAACATATTAAACAGAACAACCTATATCTCCTATAAGCTGTTACAATAGCTACATAATCTTTGCGATATTAAATAACCAAAATGTAACTGACAATACTGAAACACACACACATTCACAAATATATTTTAGTTATGGCCAAGAAGGGTTAAAAAGGACATAGTTGTTTAAAGTACTATTACATACTAACGAAACTTTATTGTTTGAAAAATGGACAATAGGTAGACAAGCCTAGATACGTCTACTGGCAGAAGAAATGTGAAAAATGCAAAGAAAACCACGGACTAACAACGACAACAAAAAGAACGCATGAGGCAGTTTAAAAAAATAAATACAGATGACAATCATTAATCTGATTAAGCAGACAAGCCGTTGGCAATGGTGGTGACAAAAGAAGTAGTTACGGTGGTGGTGGTAGTAGCATTAGTATTTGTGATTGTAGTAACAGTAGCAGCAGTAGTAGTAGCCGCAGCAGCAGTATGGTGGTGGTGGTGGTAAAATCACTGCCACTACCGTCACTACTATTGCTGTTGCTGCTACTACTACAGCAGCAGCAACAGAAGTAACAGTTGTTTTCTTTGTGGTAGTACATTAAGTAATAGCAGATGTTCGTCTGCTAGCACTACAGCAGCAGTTGTAGTAGTAGTAGTAGTAGTAGTATGAGTAGTAGTAGTAGTAGTAGTAGTAGTAATAGTAGTAGTAGTAGTAGTAGTAGTAGTAGCAGTAGTAGTAGTAGTAGTAGTAGTAGTAGTAGTAGTAGTAGTAGTAGTAGTAGTAGTAGTAGTGGTAGTAGTAGTATGAGTAGTAGTAGTATGAGTAGTAGTAGTAGTAGTAGTAGTAGTAGTAGTAGTGGCAGTAGTAGTAGTAGTAGTAGTAGCAGTAGTAGTAGTAGCAGTAGTAGTAGTAGCAGTAGTAGTAGTAGCAGTAGTAGTAGCAGTAGTAGTAGTAGCAGTATTAGTAGCAGTAGTAGTAGTAGTAGCCGTAGCAGTAGCAGTAATAGTAGTAGTAGTAGCAGTAGTAGCAGTAGT